TAAACTTTTTTTTTGTGGAGTGACTGGCGGAATAATATTAGATCGAAGTTTTGTGTAAGCCGATTGAATATAACAAGCAATTCGAATCTCGTTTCAGTTCTTTTAAAGTGTTTTTTATTTAGCACAGCTAAGAGAGAAAGAGAGTGGGAAAGGGAGTGGGAGTGGGAGTGGCGCAGGGAGATGGAGCCAAACCTAAAGGTGAAATCCATCTGCTGCCTATGGGAAGCCAGCGAGCCGCACTAATCAACACAATTACGGTGCAGCCGAAGGAAAACTTTTCTAATTGGATATGAAGACGCGCACATGCGTTTCTTTAAAAGAAAAAAATTTGTTAACCTTCTCGTGGGGGGTCCACCACACAATTTGGCGGCGAGAATGCCAAGCGAGCGAGTGAGGGAGATGCAGAGATAGCGTGAGCGAGAGCGAAAGAGCGACAGCCAGGCACACCCAATCCCCTGTACGCTGAAATGCTTTGACAAATTATTTTTAAGCCAATTTACAAGTTGAGAAAAAGTATCAAGAAAACATATCACCCAGGCGAAGGTGATGGGGTGAGTGTGAGTGGGTGGTATGTGTTTGTGTCTGTGTGTGTGTGTGTGTGTGTGTGTGTAGGTAAAGCAAACATAATGCGAGGGATAAAAGTGTAAAGTTGACAACCCAAGCACATTACTCACCCGAGGTGCCAGCTACAACGACGACGGCATTAAAATAACCAACCAAGCGATTCAACGTCAAATGAACAAAGAGCTTGAAACAGAAACAGGCTAACCGAAGCGCCGTTGCCTGCCAGCCGCTAGCCGCCAGCCGCCAGCCAGCCTGCCGTCTAAAATGAGCATGGCCAAGAAAAATGGCCATGCAGGAGGAGCACAAGCCACGAGCAAAGCAAACGCAGAGCCAGGCAGTCAACAGCCGAGAGCCAATGCCACATGGCGTTAAGTGTATGCAGCCGTAGGTAGTCAAGAGTTCATGTCAGTCGCTGGTTTTACTCTTTCTCGGCTTTCTCCGGGTCTGGCACATGATGCCCCGTGTTGGCCAGCAAGCCAGCCAGCATTTTCTGCAAACGCTTTTCTTAAGCTTAACAAAATGACGACACTCATTGCCGGAAGCCATTAATTTTGTCACTCTCTTCGAACTGTGTTGTGTTGGAGCTGCCACATGGGAGTTATCGTAGTAGTATAGTGTCGCCTTCTCTTTTGGGCCATTGACCAGTCACCAACACACAGTATGTACATGCATAAATGTGTGTATGTGTGTATGTGTGTATGTATGTAGTATATATTGAAAATCATGAAAAAGCAATTAAAGTTCTGCACCTGTGCCCGACCACGGCTTGACAGTCATTGTGTGTGTGAGCTAACTGACTTGGGTGAGGTCCAAGGCATAAGTTAATTGTTGGCAAAGCGCAGACCGCAATGACCGCAAGGATAACAGCAACAGCAACAGCAGCAACAACAACAGCAGTAACGGATGGCGCCCGCTCAAAAGTTCACATGACACTTTGATGATGATGCATTGTGGCCAGCAGCAAGCAGCGTGCCGCAGCGACTGCTCTGACCGCAAAAACCGCGCACATGTTTACAGTTACAAGTGCATGGGTATGTTGTTGTCGTCTTGGCAATTGACTTAATAATTACAATGCATAATTTAATAGTTCAATATGCTCTGCTATGGCTTGTCCATCCAGCCAGTGTAACAATAAACGTACATACATATATAAATAATTATCAATTTTTTTTTGTAGTTGTGTGTGTGTGTGTGTGCCGGCCATTCCACTTAACCGGCCAAGTCCAGAAATGCCAATAAATGTCTCTATATAGCTAGTGGTTCAGTCTCCAATCACGCACATTATATTGATGCCGCTCTTGCCCAAATTGACGCCTTCGAGCATCGATTCCTGATGGCTGCGCATATAAATCAGGAACTGTATGATAACGTAAAACAAATTGTTGCGATCATTGGCGCAATTGTGCAGTTCCTTTTCGCTGATGAAATTGAACTTTGGCTTCAGCTGAATGTTCGTCACGAGTATGGCGCAGTGGGCCTTGTTATTCACAGCGTTTATAATCTCTTTGGTGGAGCGTTTCTCCTCGCGTATGAGCACATAGCGGGAGTAGAAGGGCCGGCCGCCACCCTGCGGCAGTGGCATCAATTGGCTGTCAAAGTAAACGCAGAACAGATGGAACACTATCTGCAAGGATATACAAGAACAGCATTAAAAGTTATTCAAGGCTTATTTTTAGAGTTCACTCACTGCTGCGTCTGTGGGCAGATGAGTGCCCCACACTTTGCCTTTGTACGAATCGCCCGAGTTCCAGCGATAGTCGCCCATGCAAGAGCCCTCCGCAAGATCTCTAATGCGCTGCACTAGATACTCCTGGTTGGTGAAGGTGTCCAGAAATGGAAACAGCAGCGGCAGCATGGGCGCGCAGCTCTGCACGAATTGTTGATTCTCTGCCATCTTGCGCAAGCGCTCCAGACCCACGGCGCCAATCTTGAAGTCGCTAAGGCCACGCTGACGAAAGATTTCGTCCATGTTATCGATCTGCTTGACCAGGCGCTGCAATATGGTCGTCGAGATCCACTGGAAGCAAAGATGATTTAGAAATGGATAGCTGGCAGTTTAGTAACTATTCTTACATATCTGAGATTGCTTAGATACTGTGACAGCTTAACCGTTGAGATGCGCTTGATGACCTCCGAGTTGCCATCCTTAAATTGAACAATGCCAAAGTCTTCGATGGACGAGGGCGCATTCTCTGTGGAGGGCACTGGCGCTGGTGCCAATTGATAGATGGTACGCTTCAGCATGAAGGCAGCATTATTGCAATAGTTCCAAAAGGAATTGGTTGCTCCTATGCTCTGCATTGTTGATGTATCTGCCATTTCGGCATAGCTGCGCTCTCTCTCCAGCTCTGCCCTTCGCATCAATGCGGGCAGCTTTCGCACGTCAGTGGGAAAATCTTCGCGACAAACTTCCGCATAGGGCGACATGTAGACAGAGTCATTGCTCACATTGAGCGAGTTATTTCCGACCATGGAGCGATTGTAGGATTGATTGCCCATGGAACGATTGAGGGATTGATTGCCCATGGAGCGATTGTGGGATTGATTACTAATGGAGCGATTGTGGGACTGATTACTAATGGAGCGATTGTGGGACTGATTGAACTGTTGCTGTTGCTTCTTTCTTTGTTGAACCGGGCTGCGCATTGGACTAACACTGCGGCGAGTCGACTGCGAGTTCCAGCGAGAGTCTTCGAATGAAGAGTGCCAATTGATAATGGGTCCTGTGACATCGTCATATTCCGGTTCACACGAACGAGGTTTCGACAGATTCTTTATGCATTGAAAGGTATTATCTAAAAGTGGAACGTATTTATCAATGGTATGATGGCTTGCATGATTTCCTTACCATTGCCTTCGTCCAGAAGACACCGTTGCACTTCCGTTACGCACAGTGGTGTGTTGTCAATGCAGAGCCACCAAAAGTATTTTCCAGCACAAGCGGCAACGCTGAGGGATATGCAGACGGCAACTGAGAATTCGACTTGATACCATAGGGTGCTGCGCATCGAGAGGCATGTTTGCCACAGATCCACACAGATCAATGTCAACAAAATTATGTTAATAAAGCCCCATTTCAAATAGTTTCTGGCCTCTGCACGCTTCTGGCGATGCTCCAAGTTTTCCTGCACATTGAGGCGAGACAGTTGCCGGCTTTGCTGTTGCTGTGCAGCGGGGCTGCGAAAACTTGGCGAGCTGCAAATAGCAATGAACGTACATGAAAGAAGTTTATCAGTTTTAATGCAACCACATTTTACCATTTATTGCCAGAGAAATTCATGTTTTGCAAAAAATATCTGCGCACAATGTGTATTTCCTAAATAAAATGCCGTAAATTGGCGGCCTAAAAAAGTGTGTACACATAAAATATCAAATGCATGTGTTATCGATAGACTGAAGAGATAAATATTTGTATGGTAACTCTATAAAAACAGTAGGCACCGTCGCGAAGCTGACTGCTACAAGACGCCAATTTGAATTACTTAGCGCATAGAAGTTAGAAAAGTAAAGTATGAAAATGCGCCTTGTATTATCTGAAAAAAGTTGATAAATATAATAATAATTGAATAGCTAAACACCTTACCTTAAGCACGGCAACTAAAGTGACACGAAAGTAGTTTAAGCCCGTTAAGCAATAAGCGCGACAATTTATTTCAATTGCCAGTGTGATGACCTTCATAAGTTGAACATTTTCAGATGCATTGCTCGACTTGTGGATGATCTGCTCCCACTCGCAACTGTAGTACATAAGGCTCAACTGATCCGTCTGTAAATTCAGTATAATTAATTTGAGATATAAGAAGAGTAAGAAACTGACTGTTGTGTAGACAATCGAGCCAAGCATGCCCAAAGCTAAGAGTTCACAGAGCTTCGCTGCGAACCACACGATGTAAACAATATTGGCCGATGGATTCTGCAGAGAAGCGAGAGCATGGTGAAGCAAGTGTATAATGAGAATTCAATGTGGCTCTAAGAAATATACCGTATATGCCTTATATCCCATGGCACACAGCAGAGCAGCGCTGAAAGCAAACAATATGAATATACGAAAACTGAATTCCAATTCCATTTGCTCGCCGAATTGATTCAAAGCCACATTGCGTCGCAGTATATGGACGACTGCTCTTCTATATTTCGCTGAGATCTCTGCTGGGTGGGCGCTCTCCAGCAAATGTTGGGCCACTCGATGCAGATCTCGTGCCAACAGCTTGTAGCGCGCATTCAGGTGCATCATCAGCTCTCCGAGCACATTCAGCTCCCCGAAGAGCATCGAGGTTATGATTATGCCCACCCAGTAGTTGGCGCAGATTAGCGGTATATAGAAATACAGCTTCGTGTTGTCGAAGAGATACACCTGCTTATAGAG